ATTTACATTTTATATAATTAATTATATATTTCTTTTTAAAGATGTTTTTCCAGTAACAAATTTGAAGGTATCCACTCTAAATTGATTAACAAAATACATAGGTATGAGAACAAATAAAGCAAATAGAGCACTAGACAATAAAAATTGAGTCTATGTTTGATGACTCTAAAAATTATATATTAATGCATATGTGATAGTTTTACCAGGTAAACTACTAATATGGCTTTCAGAATAGAAAAAATCTAACACTGTGGAGAACTTTACTTAAACTTTTGTGTTTATGTTTCATTTAGATGAACTACAAAGCTAAATAAGACAATGAACACATAATTTTTATTGGACATGAAGTTTTAAACAAAGATAAAAACATTTTTTGCACTTATTATGAGATTTTGAAAAATATCTCTTTCTACTTTCTAACAAGGAATTTGATATACTTAGAGATTTTGAATAAATGTATGCATGTATATTTCAATTTTTATAAATAAATTATAAATTTTTATAAAATGTTTAAAAATATTTAAAAGCAGAACTAATAAGAATACTGAGTCACATGTAATTTTCTTTTTCTGGATTATAACAAAACACAGATTTTATAAAATATTTAGAAATGGCACTATAGTCAATATAAACATGTCCAAGTACTTGTCCAATGTCCAAGTACGATTCTTGACACTCATAAAATATTACAGTAACTAGAAACTTATAGTATCTTTCCTTACACCTCAAAAATTCTGATAATGGCCTCTACTTTCACTCTAGCTCTTTACATACAAAAATAATTGAATACAAATATAATTACTTTGTAGATACTAAAATTGCTAAAAGCAATTATATTTCTGGCTAAGAACTCCTAATGGAAAGATTAGCAATGTTAGAGTTGGAAACAGATGTGCTTAATAGACCTAGATTTTTAAAAATGTATTTAAAATCCGGTGTTCTTTAGAGGAAAATCATTCTTAAATCACTGACATTTAGAGAAGTGGTAGAAATTTAATTCTGAAATCTAAGGATTTAAAATAATATTTAAATATTATTTAAATAAGTATTTAAAACAAAACCCAAGGCAATGAGCACTAGTAGGAATTAAATCCAAATTGCTGTTCCAGTGTTAAATTTAATCCTTATTCAGATCTTCCTTTAGAAGTCTGTACATATTGATTTGAATTAGATTATGAATTCCAACAGTGCTGAAATGATCATTTCTATGAAATCTCTGGGTTGAGAGGATCAAATATTCATGTAAATAACTATTGATTACTAAGATGCTTTACTTTAAAAAGCAATGGCTCTTATTCTTTTCATAATGGAAGAAATCCTTTTCCATATGTGAGGATACTACTAACAACATAACATTAGTCTCAAGCTGAAAGATGGAAGGTAATGTTTTCATTTTTCGTGAAACTTCTGATTTTACTTGGTATCTTTTTGATGGACTTTATTGAGATATTTCCTCTCATAATCATAAAAATATATTAGCTTGTAATTTATAAAGATTTGTAACATTTATATAGACACAGGCATGTTGGAACCCTTTCTGATACAAATAGCTTACACTGAAGTCTTATCTTGGATACTTCAAAACACATTTTTGATGTGGGAGAAAGAGAAGATTAAAATTATTAGTTATATGGGGCTAAAATTCTACATCTACACCCTATCTTTAAAATAAAGATATGACATATAGAAGTTACTCTGCATGATCAAGAACAGGTCCTTAAAGGGAGTTATTGGAAATAGCTGTATAATGCAACACTAGCAGGGTTGTAAAGTTAAAACTAAGTTTGAAATGTAGGAAATGTAGTCTAATTATAATTCCTGTGGCTTGAAAATATTATTGCATAGAAGTGACTGAAACAGTGTAACTTTTCAATTTTCTCTTCAAATTGTATCTCCTATGACTTTTTTCCACTTCTGCTATTTCTGCAGAAGAGCTCATAATCTATTATTTTGCTTCTCTTCCCAGGTCTATTCACTACCACTGTTGCCATTCTTTAACTCATTTCCTCCCCCACCAACAAGGTGATACATCTAAAGCCTTAAATTACATCATGTTTCCCCCTTACTAGGGATACCTCAGTGACTTCTCTTTTATCTAGATTAATAGCTGCTTTTCCAGTAACTTGGAAGCCTAAGAAAATCCAAATCCACCTGCCTCTTCTAACAATTTGATGGATACTCAATAATGACATCACAAATTTCCACCCTAACCACTCCAACAAGCGATAACAAAATTTTAGGAAACACTGCAAAATAGATGTTTATTTTTTCTCTCTTGAGGATTGAAGGATTGAATTTGAGGTCTTCACACTAATCATTCCTCTCTTTCTCTCTCCCTCCCTCCCCACCCTCCTTCCTTCTTTCCTTCCTTCCTTTCTTTCTTTCTTTCTTCCTTTAGAAAGGGTCTTACTAAGTCACCAAGTTGCCCAGTTTGGCCTCAAACTAGTGATCCTCCTGCCTTATCCTCTCAGAGTTCTGGGAGACAATTATGTTTGAATCGGGTACAATTCCTAACCATGTTTCAAGGTTAGCTTTTTCTATTCTGTTACTCTCTTATCCCCTGGGTCCTAAAGGTCACATACATGGACTCAGGCATCTGATTAAATATTAGAAAACATGGAAAAAGGAAGAGCATTAAAGAAGGTTTTACTTGAATTATTTTTACTTTCGGTTCTACAGCTTACAAGTGAGTATTGATATGCATATTAACAATGAATTGTAAAGAACCTTGAGAAGTGTGTTCAGGTTTTATACCCCAAAATACAAAAAAGATTTGTTAAGCATTTAACTAACTAGTTTATAATGTGAAAGTCAACATGTTACCTGAATATAGTAACACTTAGTAATATGCTATTTTAAAAAATGCATTAATTAAAATATTACTTTCATTATTATTGATAGATAATTTGTGAAGAATTTGACTTATATTTAAGAAAATATGGGTGTCAGTTTCTTATCATTGAAACATAATATCCAACACCCACTATTTAAAGGAGGAGAGGTTCATTTTGGTTCATATTTCAGTTCGTGATCAGCTGGCTCCAAAGAAGAAACAGCAAGGGAGAATGGGATGGTGGAGGAAAAGCTGCTCATGTCATGGTGGCCAGGAAGCAGAGAGAGAAGAGGGAAGCCATAGAGGAGATATGCCTTACCAGGTCAAACGTCCAGTCACCCACTTCTAACCAGGTTAGTCTCCTAACACCAAATCAACTACAGCACCCACATAATTGATTCTCCTTCAAAACCCCCACCTCTGAGTACATGAAGCCCCTGAGGGACATTTAAATATAAACCATAACAAAGAGTGGGCTTACTAATATTAAGCCCTCATATTAAGAGCTTGACTTACATACACAAAGCTGGACTAGACTAGTGGAAGCTTTTATCCCCCCCTGGGGGGGTATCCTGTCACTCCATGTCCTCTGTTCTTGAGAAACGTTGCAGAATGTGTGTTTCTCTCTGATACCACTTTCTCATAGAAATGAGATGGGAGTGGAGGATGGAGCAGTGCTGTGTCCAGTTTCTTCTTTCAAAATTGCCAATCAGATAATTCCCTCTTCCTTGTGGGTGAGAATAGTAATAATTCAGAGATACTTGGAGTACCAGGGTAATAGCTGATCATCCACAGGGATGGATGCTTTGAGTAGAGAAAATTTCCTCCTTTATCATGCTTTTATTCCTCTAATCTCTCTCCTGTCCCTTCTTTGTCATTCTCCCCTGTCCATACTAACCTGCAGCTGCTGAGATGTGACCATTAAATTAATTATCAACTTGATTTGCTGGAGAGCTACCTCAGGGATTCATAAAGCATACTTCCAGGTGTGTCTGGGTGGACCATGAAGGTGTGACCTTGGAGGACATATCTGATTCCTTGGATCTTCTCTGGCCTTGTTCACCTGTTTTGCTTCCCTACCACCATGAACTAAACATCTTTGAAGTAAACATCATGAACTAAGATTTGCTCCACCATGTCCTTTCACCATGATGTTCTTGGAGCCAAGCAATCATGGACTGAAATTTCTCAATTGTTAATCAAATAACCATTTTTCCCTTTAACTTGTGAGTGTCAGGTATCTGGTTCCAGAAATGGGAAAACTGACTGACTAATATAGAAAATTGGTACCAGGAATAGAGCCACTGCTGTGACTATCACTGACCATGTGGTTTAGGAGCCTTTGGAAATGGTTTGTGGGAAGAGTTTGAAAAGGTTCAAAGACACAAGCTAGATAAGCCCTAGAATGCTATAAGTAGAACCTGATGGGTAATTCTCATGAGAGCTCAGAAGACCACAGTGCTAATAGGGATATGGAAAGGACAGGGTTAGAAGGTTTCTGTTGGGAATAAGATTTTCATTGGCAATTAGATAAGAGGACATATGTCTTATACTCTGTCATAAAATTTCCAGGAAACTTAAATTAAAGGCAGTGGATTAATTTATGTGGTGGAAAAAATTTCAAGGCAGCCCAGAACTCAGGCTATGGCATGGGCACTACTGGGTACTTTTAGCTAGATTTATAGTAAGAGTTGACAAGAAGCAGAGGAAAAATATTTGAAAAACTTAAATTCTTGCCCCCAAATAAGCACATTTACTACTATTGGGGCCCAAAGAAGTTTAGTCGCTGATGAGAATGGTACCATTAGAAAGAAATACAGTAATTTGGACTGGAACATAAAGAATGATGTCTTCAGAGTATTTCAAGAGTTATCAAGAGCATAAAACTGTAAATGTTTTATTTGAAAAGAGAGCCTCTGAGCCCTCTGATACAGAGTGGCCCTCTAGGGAACTGGTTCTTCAGGGTACATTTCACTCTGCTTAGCTATTTAGGTGCTCAGAGGGCTCTGCAGCCATGGACCAAGGGGACCTAGTTACTGCTTGAACTGGCAGCAGACCTTAGCATAGTCAATATGATGATGGGTTTATCAGCATGCAGTATGCCAGAGTTGTGGGGTCAGGGAGATTTCCATCAAAATTTGAAAGGGAGACTTATGATACCAAGGAAGGAGCTATGGAGAGATAGTACATGTAGCTATGGGATGAAGCCAAAGGTGCAATAGAGATCTTAGGAAGTCAGAGATTCCAGGAATATGGAATACCTGCTGAGGAAAGCTGCAGGCCATGAGTGGAACCTGGCCAAGTGAGAGGCCACATAAGCTGTAACCAGCAAGGCCATATGTGTAAGGGGTGTTCCAAGCCCTGTGAAACTCGCATTTCAATAATATATCATGGATGCCAGATATGGTGCAGCAGAACTGAATGTTTGCTTTGCTGGTTTTCAGTCTTGCTTTGGTCCTATGCTTTTGTGTCTTCCTATTTTTCCCATTTAGAATGGCAGTATTTACCCTGTACCATTCTATCTTGGGATTAAGTAATTTAATTTTTGAATTTTACAAGAGTTTACAGCTAAGTTTTTCTTGAGTCTCAAATGGAACTTTGACTTGAACTTTGACTTTGACGTTTGAAAAATGTTGAACTATTCAGATGTTGGGGAAGAGATTATTGAATTTTTGGTTTAATGTGGGACGGTTGTATCATGTAGAAATAGGAACTTGCTATTGTCTTTATTTTGGGATTAAGCATGTTTTCAGGAGATATGTTTGGGTATCAAGTTGACAAAGGTTGGAACGTGACAGTTAAACTTACTTTTCAACTTGTTTGGTTTGGAATCACATAAAGAATGAGTAAACCATGCAGTTGGATATGTTTGAGTGTGTAATGGAAGTGTGACTTTGGGATCCATATCTGGTTTCTCACTTTTTCCTCTGGCTCTATTCACCTTCTCTGCTTTCTGGCCACCATGAATAGAGAAGCTTTGCCCCAATATGCCTTTCCACCATGACTTTCCTGCACGAAGCTAACCCATCATAGACTTAAAGCTCTGAAACTTAAGTCAAGTGAAACCATTTTCATCTTTAAATTTTCAGTGTTGAGAACTTGGTTTCAACAATGGGGAAGCTCACTTATACAGTGATAGTTTTTTCCTTTCATCAAAAGAACCCAACTTCTTTCTGCTCAGTGGTACAGACTGTGCTGCCCCTCAGTCTGGAACATCACAATGAAGATCTTTCCCCTCTTTCCAGTCAGTCAGCCTCAGCTTACATATTGCTTCATTAAAGAGGAATCATTGGTACACAAAATTTGCTTCCTTCCCCAGTTTCTCTCAAAGCAGTGTTGAAATTTTATAAGACCTTACCAAAACATGTATTTATTTTTAATTAGTTTATGTAGACCTTTCTCATTGAACTGTCAGCTTCATACTAATATAGATGAAGCTGCTTTATTGAATAAATGCACTTAATAATTTGTGGTTAATAGTAAATGAATGAAGTGCTGTATGAGTACTTTTCTTACTAGTTAAAAGGACTTCTGTTTTTGAGAAGTGGCTATGCATCTGGTTTAAGGAAAATATTTGGACTCCTAGACTTTTCTTTTATTAGCTGATGATTCTACTGCTCTGCATCTAGAGGAGTTTAGCTTTTGCAGGACACTATAAAGAGATTTCTTCCCTAAAGTCCTATCCATCATGGAAATCTGTTCAGCTTGTTCTTTGTGTGACATAAATTAGCTTATCAGGCTAAGAGCATGGTAGATAAAACACCATGTTAGAATTCTGTAAATGTACGAGAAAAATGAAGCATATGGGTCCCACTTTGCTGATTTAAGTACCTTCAAGACCTTTTTGAACAAATGTAGTTAAGAATAATATAAGCCCTAAATTACATAAGTCAGAATTAATTAAACTTCTAGTGGGTAATTTATAGACATTGACAAGATAACCCTCAGAACACTGAAATGACTTAACTTTAAGATTATTATGAGAATTGTGAAAGAAATTTATGATATTCAAAATTCACTTACCTTATAGAAATATAAAATGGTAAAAATATAGATAGGTTGAAAATCAATATTTTAACATTTATTTAAGTTAAGCAACAATATTTTAAAGTTTAAAACAAAACAGGAAGAAACCAGCTAATATTTAATTTATATAAATTAATAACTTTGAGAATAATAGTACTAGTAGGCTGAAAGAAATAAAGCACAGTGTTCAAAGCAAATTATATAGAGAATTGAGTTACTGGTAATGTCTCACACAGTAGGGACAAATATCCTATGAGATATTTTATTTTATGTCCCAGCTGATAGAGTATTTTCCAATGGTCCATGTTTCATAAATCCAAAGTTTTCATTCCCCCCTTTCTTCCTGTCCTCTCACATACAGTCACCAAAGTATTGATTTTATAAAGCTGAATAAAAGATCATCTTGAAACAGGAATGTAATACCATTTAAAAAATTATTTCTCTATGATATAAAAATAACTGAAATCCTAAGTTTAAAATTGTCCATTATTTGAAGAGTAATAATTACTTTCAAGAAATATACTTTCAAAATCACTAAAAATAAAAATTTTCCATGACAGAGATGAAAACTAAAATGTAACACAATTTTTATTTGTATATTTCAATAGTGTGTCCTGAAATAATATTATTTAGGCAGCAAAAACCATGAGATCAGCAATGGAAATGAACTGTGCAGCATCTGAGAAATCTTAGTTTCTTTGGGAAGGAGAGGACATAGTAAAAGCATGCAGGGAATTGAAATGAAGGAAAACAACAACCAAAATGAAAACAAAACAAAAAAGCCACAAAAATAAGCAACTGCTTTGTGTCAAGCTTGTGGTCCTGGAATATTAGTATATTCACATCATTTCCACATTCTAGCCAACAGATTGTCTGGAGACACAAATCCTCTATTTCTGGTTTTTGACCACATTTTTGTTACTCATCCTCCACTGCTGAGCTGAGTTCTTGCTTTAGACTACTTCAGCAGTCATTGATAATCTCTACAGAGCATCCTTTGAATGTGGAGCAATCAGGATTTTGTCGTATTCAAGAGAGCAGGCCAAATTATGGCAGGAACTCAGTTTAGCTGCTTGGATGAGAAGGGGCTGTGGACTTAGTGGGAACCCACAGCATTACCTACAAATCCACGCATCTTCAAGGGTATGGTGTATCCCACGCAGTACCTGTGATTTCAGTGGGAGTTACAAAATCATAGGCAAGAGGCTCTTTTAGCAAGTATTTTTATTTCAGGGATCATTTGAGAGGTTTGATGGCACATGCTGATATCCTGGAACAGAAGATACTATTTGAAATCCATTTTAGAATGTGTGATCTTCACTTGAGG